AAAGAGTGAATTTTAGAGGTGACCAATTTCTTGCATAAACAGCGGCTCACTGATGAGAAAATGGGAAGAAGCTATTGAATTATTGTCAATTGTGTAGTCACCCACTGATACATTAAACATGTCAGTCTCCAGCAACACTAAATTTGATGAATAAAGTATCAATTTAGTGAGCTCTGAGTAGCTGACTGTTTTATAAAAATAACCGTATGCATATCCCCAACGCAAATTACAAAGCCAGAGTCCAGGCTGTGTTAATTTTCTCCGGTTTAGTGGAATCTCTTCAATCCTCTTTAGCTAATGCAAGGCTGTGCTCATCCACGGATGGGTAAAGACTTTGTGGAAGCTGGGGGTTTGCAATGAGCTCGCTGAAAGAACAGAAGACTGGCAGGAGCAAAACACATCAGCTACACCTACAGTTTAAAGGGCTACTACTAGTAGCTTTAGACCCAAGATGGGTATCTATCTACTGCCAGAAAAAGGCTTTTTGTTGGCAAAGACGTAAGGTGCTTCCTTTATGGAGTGGACTGAAAGGGAATAAAACATTTTTTCAGATTATTCATAAACACCTCAAAAACAAGTGGAAAAATAACCACCAAAAACCCCACTGACTGTTAGAAATGTGAAAGTCTGCAGCCCCTCTGCCATGGGGACAGGCTGGGAGAGTTGGGGTGTTCAGCCTGGAGAAGGGAAGGCTCTGGGGAGACCTTATAGCACCTTCCAGTGCCTGAAGGGGCTACAAGGAAGCTGGGGGGGACTTTTGACAAGGGCCTGTAGTGACAGGACAAGGGGTAACGGGTTTAAATGGAAAGTGGGGAGGTTTAGATTAGATAGCAGGAAGAAGTTCTTCCTGGAGAGGGAGGGGAGGCACTGGGACAGGTTGCCCAGAGAAGCTGTGGATGCCCCATCCCTGGAAGTGTCCAAGGCTAGGCTGGATGAGGCTTGGAGCAACCTGGTCTAGTGGAAGGTGTCCCTGCCCATGGCAGGGGGTGGGACTGGATGGGCTTTAAGGGCCCGCCCAACTCAAACCATTCCGTGATTCTACGATCACAGATACTTCCAGCCGTACATCTGTGGGTACAGGAACGGCTGACCAGACGGGGAACACATGAAGCATCTCTGAACAGGCACCAGGAGAGGTGACATCCAGCAACAGGATTATTCGAGTCACTGAGCTTTTCGGAATACAAGGCAATTATACCATGAAACAGTTGTGAATCTGAGCATCCCTAGGAGGACTGAGTAGCTCTAGCTCCATAGGATTTGCTTGATTCTGGAAAAACATGGAAACTGCGGTAACAGGAAGAGCTGAGGTGCTGACACAGCATAGTTACAATACGCTCCAACTGAGCATACTCAGAGTATGCTCTAAGAGTAAAATATTAAGATATTATTCTGAACCATTACTTAACCAACGTTTCTCTAAGAAC